CTCTGGGACTGCTTGACCAATAGGTTATGGCAGAAGTGCCACCGTGGTAAGGTATAGAAGGTACTATCTTCATATAGGGGATCAGGCCCATGAGGCCTAACTTGAGATTTATTGACCTAAACGCACTCCAAAGTGTGAGAGAGAGGCCGAAAGGTTTTGGGGAAACTTTAAGCTGGAAAGAGGAGACCCACAAAAATCTGCTTCCAGGCTTAGGCCTTAAGTAACTGGTAGCTTCCGTTTCCTCTCTCGGGATGCTACCACTTGGCTTGCAGCCAACATGCTAGGAGGAAGCCCAAGCCACCCCGTGGAGAGGCCCACATGGAGGGGAAACAGTACTGACTTGCCAACCCTGTTTGTGACACAGCACAGAACCCAGGTGAGTTGCCCCTCCCCAGCCTTGCCCCAGACTGTATAGGTTCTTCAGCAAAATACATTCTCCTTGTTGTTTTACGCTACTAAGTTTTGGGGTAGCTTTATGCAGTTACAGCTAACCCAAACAAGGTATGCCTTAGCCATAGTAGAGTACAGCTCTGATGAACTTTCATATATGTATAAAACCATGTAACCATTAACCAGGTGAGATACAGAAGATTTGCATCTTCCCTGAAGATTCCCTGGTCAAACAGCTTCTTGAAATCCTACCCAGGCTCCTGGATTATGAGTCCCGTGGCCCTGGGCATCTTATTTATTTTTTCTCAGTGATGTTTCCAAACTTAACTGAATTAAAAACACTCTCTTCAGCATCCACCAATGAAATAAAAAGAGGCTCAGCTGTGTGGGCCAGAAAAGAGAGAATGCTCACATGGAAGACAACCAGACTTCAGTCCGTAACCTCTGGGAAGCAGGTTGGCAGGAAAATGAGCTGATCTGCTCTTAAATCTCCCATCAGCAAAGTCACCTCGTAAAACGCGAGTGCATAGGGTGCTGTCTTAATTCCTGTGATCAGGCCTGTGAGGCCTAACTCGATATTTCCAGTCCTAAACCTTGTCCAGAGCAACAGAGGCCAAAAAGGCTTTGGGGAATCTTTAAACCAGGGGAGAGAGGAGACCCCCCAAAAATGTGCTTCACCAATTGCTTTACTTCAAACTGTGGGCTGATTTCCATTAATCACACTTGGCCCTAATTACCCGGGAGCAGCCTTTCTTCCTCTGGCCTGGAGCAGGAATTTTAAGGGGCTTCTGACAAAGCAAGGCCTGGAGTCCAGACAATAGTGGTGGCTCCGGGAAAAGGCTGGATGGAGAGGTGTCCAGCCGCAGCCCTCTCCTTTCCTGAGACCCAAGTTCCAGCTCTGCTTGTGATCTCCCCAGGTAGGAACCGGAGTTCCTCCACTAAATAGATTTTCCTTTTGTTGTCACATTAATTTGCAACTCATTAATAGTGACAGAAGTGAGGTACTGCACCGATGTCATTTGCATATTCATGAGTGACTTATTATTAAACAAATAAGATTTTCCTATCTTCGCAGCACCCAAAGTAAGGCTGAACAGTGCATTACACCGGCCTCGATGCTTTATTCTCTCTTTAATATGTTAATAGATGCAGTTGATTTCTTTAAGTAAATACGCATCTATAAAACAACACATACTTTATGAAAAAGAAATCATTTAAATAATAATCCATTAGCAAAGTTGGTAACAATTTAAGAGGAACAACCCATTAATACGAACGCGTGGGAATCAATTTGCGAATTTTAATTCGGTTGGGTGGTGGGTTGCGGACAACCGAGGGGAAGGACCCGCGAGCGTGTGCGCGCTTCAAAAAATATTTTAATGAGTTTCCAGAGACGAGCCCTCGAGTCCTTCGCGTCTTTCGGGTGCCGGCTCCCAGTAGGTCGAAAACTGCTGGAGTCCTCCCCCGGATCAGCATTTTTCCGGCCTCCGCTGGGGATCGGAGGAGACGTGAGCTGAAAGCAGGCCCAAGCGCCACGTCTACCCATCTACCCGGTCTCTTTCCCGGTGCCCACCGGCCTCCCATCAGCACCGGGTTAAGCGGGGTGGGGGCGGGGCAAGGCCTGGTGTCCCCACGAGGCTCCCCCCGGGCACGGGCTGGGGCTCTCCCCTCCTGCCCCTCCACTCCCCGGCCTGGGTTTCATCACAGCCGGTTCTTTCCAGCTGGGGTCAGGGTGGGCTCCCCCCGCGGCGTCGCGGAGCGCAGGGCCAACCGCGCACCCTTATCTCGGCCGAGTCAGACACTCGCCGCGCGGAATCTGTTGACATTTACTATTGTTCGCAGGAGTCCGGAGCGCGGGGCGGGGGCGGGCGGACCGAGGCGAGGCGAGGGCGGGAGGCGAGTGTGGGGCCTGCGGTCCGCTGTGTGTGTGTGTGTGTGTGTGTGAGTGTGTGTGCGCGCGCGAGCGGAGGGGGAGGGGCCGCCTTCACGGAAAATAAAAGTGGCCGGCGGGTCCGGAAGCTTCCAAGCCGGCTCACCGGCCCACGCCGGGAATAGAGGTGGTGGTGGGGGGTGCGCAGGAAGGAAGATGGAGCGGCCGGCGGTGGGGTCCCCGGGGGAGGGCTAGGGGCGGCTCCGGTCGCGCGGCCCCCGGTGACCCGCAGGACACAAGTGCATTTGTGCCGAGCCGTGGCGGGGATTAAAGTGCCATACGGCCCAAGCGAGGGGGGCGAGGCGGGTGGAAAACAACTCCCCGCGCGCACAAAGCGCGCATTGTTCCAGCCACCTCCATTATGCCGCGCTGCAGCCAACAGCCCGTTTCGCAACTGCCCTCCCGGCGGCCGGGTGCGCGCGCGCGCACACACACACACACACACACACACCACACACAGGAATTCGCCCCGACCCAGGCCGGGGTGGGTGCGCTCCGCTGGGACTGGGAGGGGCCGCCCGTGCCGAGGGTTGCGGGGGGTGGGGTGCGGGCGTCTCTTTCCAGCTCGGCTGCTGCTATTCGGGGTTGCGTTTTTTGAAGGTCTTCTCTTCCTCATCTCCTCCCTGGCACTTTTCCGTTTCTCTGGCTCCTCGGGCCTGCCCCGAGCGCACCCCGGAGCCTGGAGCTCCCTGGGAGAGGCGGCGACGGCGGGGGTGGGGAGTGGAAAGGGCGCGATCTCAGCCGTAGTCACCCGCGGATCGCAGCCCCAGGCACGCAGCCCTTGCGTGCTCTGAGGAGGACACGTGCGCAGGAGAAACGGGGAAGGCATCCCGCTTTCCAAGGAGAGGCTCCCGAAGCGCCCCCTCCCCAGCTCTCTGGCACTCCAGGACTTCCCCCGGCCTGGAGCGGGATGTGCGGAACCCCGCGCCACGCCGCCTGGCCTGCCCGCGGGTCCGTGCCAAGTGGGCCAACTGGGTCCCCCCACCTTAACCACGCGGTGCCCGAGCCCTGGCCTCCACCCTCTCTGCCGTTCACGGCACCGCACGGGCACATCGGGAGGAAATGAAGGCTTGCCAACATCTCCGCACCCTGGTCTCCCCTGGGTGCCCAGCGACCTGGGGAGCACAGCCAGTCCCCCCGCCCTGCTGCGCCCTCCTGGTGGGCAGGTGGGGAGCTCCGGGCTCAGGCTCGGCGAGCTAGCGCGGTCTGGTTTCCTTTACGTTTACAAGCTATAAATAAACTTCCCCTTGGGCGGATGCGCGCTGCGTCCAAGGGCGGCTTCCCGCCGAATCCGGCGGGCGGTTTACGATCTGGGCCCAGAGCTGGTCCGAGCGCGGCGTGAGCCCAGGGTGGGGCGGCGGCTTCGGGGGAGCTCAGAGGTCGGCCAGGAGTGGCCGAGTGACCCTCCTCTCCCCCGCGGGGCCTGGGCGCCTCTGCGCTGAGGCCCGAGGGTGGGGCCGGGTGATTTACGAGCCGTCACCCCAGCCCGCCCCTCCCGTTTCACTTGTTTTCCTCCTCTTCTGCTCAAACCCGGTTCCCAAGGCCTCAGCCCCAACCCTGCCCTGCGACGATTTGGCAATTTCAGGCTGCCTATGGCGGCCCCGGCTCTTGGCCGGGCGCATATGCTCAGGGCGTGGGTGAAGCCCTGGGTGCTTGCGCCCCCTGCGCCCCCTTTCCGGGCAGGGAGCCAGCTGGGCTAGCGCGGCGAGGCTCGGCGGCTGGGGGAGGCCTGAGCGGGCGAGGCTGAGAGGAAGGGCTGGCTGCGCGGCTCCGGAAACCGCGGGCCTGTCGGGTGGATCCCTGACCCTCAAGGTCATCGGGCGCGGGGAAACCGCCGGCCCACACCAGAGCAGAGGCCATCACACCAGTCGGCGCTGAACCTCAGGTCTCCACATGGCCCCACTTGCCGGGGAGTGCAGTTTCCCCAAGGAAACCCAGAGGTCACGACAGAAGACGTAGTGCTGGAGGCCACCACCAGTCCCACCTCTGTGCCCTCTGCCAGAGAGGCGCCAAGTCTCTCAGTATGGGTGCCCACAGTGCCAGCTGGAGGCCAGGCTTCCTGATGTCTCCAGCACACTTGCGTGTGTGGGTGTGGAGGGCTAGTTCACGTGGCTGGGCCTATGGGGACAGTCGAAGGAGTTAGGCGACTCTGGCAGCTGCTATGCTACTTTCCGCTGAGACTTTAGAGGCTGCGGAGGAGAGGCGTCCCAGCGGGTGGGCGAGAGTGGGAGCCTGGAGTAGAGAGGGGGCGTCCTCCCGTCGGGAGGCTCCGAGGCACGCACCGGGTCCCCTCCCTTCTCCGCGCAGCCCCGGCCGCAGCCCCGCAGGCTGGCTTCTCTGCCCGGTGTTTGTTTAACCCTCCACCCCTGGGCTGCAGCTGTGGGCAGAGGGATCCCAGGCCTGCAGATCCTGGGGGTGGACCCCTATTTCTGCCACCGGGAGAGCCCCTCCCCCCCAACCCTCGGGGCCGAAGGTCCCAGGGTGCCCGCGCCCCTGCCACCTAAACGGGCCTGGGGTTCGTCCGGGGTCGACAGAAGGTCCCCATTGTTCCCCGGGGGGCTGGGGCTGGGAAGCTGACTCACTCTCTGAGCAGAGCGATGCCGAGTGTTTTCTCGGCAGCCTTTACCCGAGTGCTGTATTTAGACAGGCTTTATTTACAGTACACATGTTTTCGGCTCGTTCTTCTGGAGGCGGGAATGGAAACTGGGCAGAGCGTTCTCCCCGTGAGCCTCACGTTTGGAAAGGGTTGAGGCTCAGCGGAGTCGAAGGATTCCACTCCCGCCCGTATTCTCTAGTAAGATTACGTCCAGGAAAACATTGAATGGGACCGTACAGGAGGGCGCTGGGGGACACACAGAGGGCCAACCCTCCTGTAGTGGCCAACCCTCTCATAGGGCCCATTCTTCCACACCCGGAGGGAGGTGAGACACCATCCAAGAGTATTTTACAAAGTTCAGAGGGTGAGGGCCCCAGAAGGTCACAGGGACAACAATCAGTTTAGTGTGAAAAGGGTCTTTAATTCCACTTCCTGGGCTGCTTCCCCACTCCTTTGCACCTCCAGGCTTTCCCAGGTTTGGATCTCTCTGGGTTCTGTGCAAGGTCTTGTGGCTCCTCCGGTGGAGGTCACAGGGCAGCCAGACTGCTGGAAGGCCTCTGGTTACCAGCCTGCAGTCAAGCTGGCTTTTTGGCAGCGGCTCAGTAAGTGGGGTGGTCCGGTTAGGGACTGCAGGAAATTGTCTCAGCTAGATTAAATATTTTACAAAACCTTCGGGGGGCCTACGGTTGACTTGAAGCTGGCAATGTTAAACCAAACAAAAGTTAACGAGTTCTCTCTCCTGACTTTTTAGGTACAGTTCAGAGAAGACTGGGGGTATCGGCTCTTTAGAGGAAGCAAGTTTAATGGCGTTTCCTCCCATTTCTCTCCACAACTTTCTGCCCGGTAGTCTCTGGGGCTGGGGTGGCACAAAGATCTCTCTGGGGGTCCCTCTTTGATGGGGCTGCAGCTGACTTGATATCAAGTGGCTGATGAATTCCACGCCTGAGTTGTTAGCTTGCTTCTGACCCCTGCTTGAAATGAACTGCAGCCTTGCCCAAATTGCAAGGGCTCCAGAAACTGCATGGGACATAATGCCACAAAGGTCCCAGGCCTACCTCTTGGCCTGCTCCTAGGGTAGACCCCTGAGGGAGAAAGGCCTCCGCTTTTGCACTCAAGGTCCAACAGCATTTCCTGGTTTTGTCTCCTCTTGAGTTTTTGCCTGCAAGTACTGAACTGTCTTGGGGTTTGCAGTGTTTCCCTCCCTGAATCCCACACTCCTTGGTCCCTGCCCCTGGGGCTAGGGGGTGACTCCCCCTTGCATGCACGCTCACTCCATTCCCACATTCAGGCTGCAGTGTGCAAGCTCTGCAGGCCGGAACTGAAGTGTGGCCACTGGAGAGGAGGCAGCCTGACCTTTGCAGGAAGGGAAGGGAAGGCAGATTCACAGCCCACAGCGCTGCAGGGAGACCCACAGCTGCACAGGGAGCTGCAGGCTTTGCCACAGCCCCAGCAGCTCCAAGGGAGCCAGTAAAAGGAAACCGGCTCCAAGAGAGGCAAGGGAGCTTCTGTGGCTGTGTGTGTGTGTGTGTGTGTGTGTGTGTGTGTGTGTGTGCGCGCGCGCACAGGCCGTTCTGAGCAAGAGAAACTGCCTGGGGGAACCAGGGCTGCTGCGGGTGCCTGCTGGGGGGAGGAGGGGGCTGAGCACGTCCTGGTGGGGGAAGGTTGGGGTTTCAGTGCAAGAAGATTGTGGCTAAAGGAAGCTACTCGCAAGAGGAGCTGCCACCTAGGGACCCTCATCAGATGAGGGGGGCCTCCAAGCAGCTTGAGAAAGTCCAGCCTAAGAAGGGTGCAATTGCTGAAGAACGGGGTGCCTGGAGCTTGGCTGGGTTTTCAAACATTAACATTTGGGGTGGTGTCTTTGAGACAGAACCTTCTCTAGGAAAAATTGCAAGCTCTTTACTTGGAAGTCCCCGCAGACCCAAGCCACAGTGACCTCAGTGCCCAGGCCCACCCGGGGTTTGTTTTTGGGGAAAGGACTCCCCAAAGCACGACCCGCGCTGCTCCCTTCCCGGGCTCAGGGACGGGGCGAGTAGGGGGTATGCCCAGAGTGTACCGAGGCAGCCGCCCTTGGGGCTTGGGTGGGGAAGGTGCCCCCTCCAGCTTCGGTGCTGGAAACCATTGTTCAGTCAGCATCCCGCGCTTCTCCAGCCGGGCTAATTCTCCACGTGTCCAATTTTCGTGTCTGAAAAAAAGCAGCAGCTCAGAAACAAAACCATATGACAGGACTGGCTGCAAACCCTGCGGAATCCAGAGGGTGGGGGAGGTGGCGGCTGGGAAGGGGGAGGGTAAATGATGTGTGGGGGTGTGTGGAGGGTGTGGGGGGGTGAGGGGGGTGAGGGGTGGGGGTGGGCCAGCACAGAACTCAAAAGTTTGGGCTATTTCCTACCCGATCTCACCTCCCGGCGTGCTCATCGGATGCAGTTCCAACTCCCTCCCGCAGCCCCAGCGCTCGCGGGAGTGTGGAATTACAGTCTAGTGGCGAGGCGCTGCCGAGGGAGGCGACGCTCCGAGCCCGGGAGTGCGGAAGCGCAGGCCGGAGGCTGGGAGACCCCCGGCCGCCCCCTGCCGCTCCGTCCTCCTCCGGGTCACGATCGGAGAGGCCGCTTAACGCCCGTTCTGCAGGCCGGGACGGGGGAGGGGAGAAAGGACGGGGCTCCTCCGGGAAGCAGAGTAGAACCTGCCTGCCATTACGGGGCGCGATGTACCCCACCCCACCTTCCGGGGATCCAGCTCCTTAAAAAAAAAAAGAAAAAACACCCCGAAGGCCAAATGTTTAGCTGCAGGTTGAGCCTTTCCCACCCCCGTGCCCCCTCGGCTTTCTCTAAAGGCCTGCCCCCCCCACCCCCCGTCCATCACCCCCGCTTCCTCCTGTGTACTGGCAGTGGCGATCACTTCTGCGACTCTTCGGAGGCCGAAGGCCAGGAGCTTTGTTCTCCCGGGGCTTCCCCCTCCCCCCTCGAAGTCATTCCCGTCCCCGCACTTTATCTGCCCCCCCCACCCCCGCGTCCGCGCACACAAACAACCCGAGTTTATAATCTCATTAGCATAGGCCTCGGTCTGGGTGACCGCAGAGTCCCTGCGCGCCCTGCTACCACGCTCTACTTCGCAGCTGGAGTTTCTACCATGCATGCCCCTGAGTCCGGGACGGGAGGTGGCGAGGTGTTGCGGGGGACAGTGTTGGCTTTAGGGCAGGCCTGGAAGAGGAGGCCGCTCTGGGCAGCAGGAGCCGCCGGAGGAAGGCCCCTCCCAGCGCCCAGTTGCCGTGGTCCCCGGAGCAGATGGCAACTTTGTCTCCTGGTGTGCGCGCAGCGACTTTCAACACATTCAAAAGGCAGCGCTCAGGCTGTCGGGGAAGCCTCGCTGACATTCAGAACCGATTAAAGACCCGAGACGGTGCCAGGCGCAGTGGAGAGTTATGAATTAATCATGGGGGTTACCGATATCCGAGGCTCCCCAGGGCAGCCCCTCTATTATTAAGCAGACCCCACTGGCCACTCCTGACGCCCCCTCCCCCGCCGATGAGGGGCAGGCGGGGCATCTTTTGCACTGCCCCAATTAACAGCCCCCCGGTAATGTAAAAAGTGTTTGTCCTGCCACCCTCGGTGCGGGCTCAGGCCCGGCTCCTGGGCCTGCCAGACGCGCCAAGCATTGAAAGCTCAGCCTTTGGGACCAGGCCCTGGTGAACGCTGGGCTCTGATCCTGTCGTGGAGTGGAATGAGGCCTGGTGTTAGCCTCTGAGACTCAGGCCAGCTCCTTTCACCTCCATAGCTGGGGGGTCTCTGGCTAGTGGGCGATGCCTGAGGCCACCCACAGCTGGGGACATGTCCAGGGCCCCTGGGGCAGGAGGCAAGCTTAGGGTTTTGCGTGGTTCTGGTGATGCTCCAAATATGGAAATACCGAGGTTCCTGTGTGCTTTGAAACCCCAGCACAGCCCTGGGGCCTCTTAGGAGGCCCATCCACGGCAGACACCATGCCCCAAGTAGCCCGGAATCACCCTAAATGACCCGCACCCCTGGGAAGCCAAGCAACACACGTCTCCACCACCAAACCGCTGCCCGCGTATTGTTAAATCAGCGCACACTGTTCTAATCTCCCCTATTTATTTCCCAGGCCTGCCTGGCCGCAGATTTCTGCAAGACAGAGCAGTCTTCGGGTTCCTCCTGCTTCCAGAGGGGCCATAAAAAACAGATGGTCTCATTAGGAACAATTTATGCATATATATTTCGAAGAGTTCAGCAGAGCTGGGGTAGGTTTGCAGCCCCTGCGTCAGGCAGGAGCAAAATATCACCGCTTGCAAATGTTTCCAGTTTGCAAAATAATGGCCTATCCAAAGTAGCTAAGCAACGAATTACTCAAACACTGGAAGGTTAGATGCCAATATTATCACTTTCCTCGTGTTCTTTAAACTGTCCTCCTCCTGGTCATTGAATTTGGAAGGGGGGCTCCCAGGTTTCATACCCCTACGCCCGCCGGCTTTCTTTCAATGACTATTTCCAATCTCCAAGTCAAATCACTTATTAATTATAGAGGCAACTCGAGCAAACCCAATTACCCGTAGGCAGCCCTTCCCAGATGGGAAGTCTGTCTCGCACAGCTCCCACGGTGGCCCAATTTCTGGGGAGGCTTCTTTTGAGTCCAATTACTTTTTGTCAGTGGTCTGCCAGAGGCCTTGAATGTTTCCTATCCGGGGTCCCTCTTCCCAGAGAAAATCCTTTCTTTCTGCACTGATGGTGGAACCCAGGGCCTTGGGCATGCTAGGCAAGCATTTGACCACAGAGCCCTGCAACTCCATTTCCTAACCCTGTTCCCTTTCCTTCCTCCAAAGAGAGGTCCTCACCCGTTAAGAGGGGCTGCTTTCAGGCTACTTTTACCTTTACACCACACCCGGTTTAAACCTTAGGAGTTTCAGAGCTGGCCTTGGAATGGCCGGAAGCCTAGACAGAGCCCTATTCATTTGCAAAAGCAGGAGGCTGAATGATTGGCTGGGCTGGCTGTCCCTCGACTTTTCTGTCCTCCCATCAGGTCTATCCTGTTGCTTGAGATCCCCTGGTTTTGTGAGATAGGTCCCAGAAGTCTGCAGGGCATACTCCTGGTAGGGTGAAAAAAAATCTCTCTTTTTAATGTCACCACAGTTCTGGCCACGTGGTAATAATGCTGCCAACCATGAGGACATTGTGCCAAGCATGTCACATATTCATACATACATCTCCTTAAACCGAGCAGCCACACTTCGGTGGGCATAATTTCTCCCATTTTGCAGATAAAGAAACTGAGGTTAAGAAACTTGCTACAAATCATGCAACTAGTCGAAATTGAAGCCCTTAATCCAAAGCCCGAGTTTTCATTCACAGTTTCTAGGACACCTTCCGGAATAGTATAAACCATAGGGGGAGGGAGGGGGACTGTTTACTAGCAGCAGAAGCCGCCTGGCAGAGTAAAGGTTTCAGGCAAGAGGTCTAGGCGTCCAGTTGGGAACAGGAAAGCACGCCAGGGGGTCGCGGGAGAGACCCAGAAAACAGCTCTTCTGGGGCAGGGGCTGCGAAGGCAGCTGCGTTGGCTGGGGGCAGGGTTGCAGGGCGCAGCGTGGCTGCTGGGGTCTTGCAGCGCGCAGAGAAGGGTCCTGCCGCCCTTTCGCGACTTGGAAAGTCACTTCCAAGACCGTGGTGCTCGTGGGATGTGCTTCAGGGGGCGGTGGGCCGGCCCCGGCGGTCCCGGGGGCTGCGCACCGAGCGAGGAGCCTCGGGAGGTCCCTAGAGGCAGTTGGCCTCGGCTGCGCTTCCCCGCGCCCTCGCTAAGATGGAGCTAGCAGTTCGGCGGAGGAGGGGAGGGGAGCTGGAGAGGGATGCGCGGGCGAGCTGGTAACCGTCTGCAGCGAGGAGTGTAATTGCCCCTGTGACCGCGGGCGGCGAGGGCGGGGCGCTCGCCCAGCCTCCTCCCTCCCACTCCGCCGGCGGCGCGGAGCTGGCTTTTGGCGGAGAAGGCGCCGTGCACCTCGTGGGCCCAGCCACCAGGCGCAGCGCAAGGCGAGGCCCCCGTGGCCCTCGCTGCCTGGACAGCTGTCCTTGGCGCTCCGCTCTGGTTCCTTCCTCCTGCGCGCGGGCCAGTTCCCTTAGCCCCAGGGCCATTAAGGCTGCAGCCTCCCACATCTTTTTTTCTTTATTTCTTTTATCGGTACCGGGATTGAACCCAGGGGCAGTTAACCACTGAGCCCCATCCCCAGCCACCCCCCTTTATATTTGATTTAGAGACAGGGTCTCACTGAGTTGCTTAGGGCCTCGCTAAGTTGCTGAGGCTGGCATTGAACTTGCGATCCTTCTGCCTCAGCCTCCTGAGCCACTGGGATTACAGACGTGCACCTCCTTCTAATTTAGGGTGCACCTAGGCTGGGGCCTGAGGCTGTCAGCTGCGCCCAGGTGACCCCGCCTCTCCCTCCCCTGAAGAGGGGCGTTGGGGGGCCTTGACGGCCAGCCTGGAGTGTCTGATGGCCATCCTGACCTTCCGCTCCACCTCCGGCCTGGAAGGGCCCCCAAGCCTGCGCGCTTGGGTTGGCCCTGGACCCCTATGGCTCCGCTGCGCAGGTCCTGGGGCTATAAGGGAGACTAGACTTGGGGAGCAGTGTCTGAGCCCCAGATCGCCCAGTGGCCTGGGCGTGTGCGCTTTGCCCTTGGTGGGCTCCTGGCCCCCGGCCGAGTGGAGGGGACCAGGCCGAGGTGGGGGGAGGCCCGGGACCTGCCAGGGATTCCAGAGTTTGTAACCCGTGTAGTTTCTGGCTTTCACGGCTCGTTTGAAATCCTCCCACAGGAAGATGTCTGCCAAGGAGGCCTGCGCGACTCCGAGCCCCGCGCGGCCACCCGGGTGTGCGTGTGCGGGGAGTGTGTGTGTGTGTGCGCGCGCGCGCGCGCCCGCGAGGCCCAAGAGCGGAGGAGCGAACCGGCCTGGGCACTTTCCCCGCACAAGCGCTGCAGGCGCCTCGTGCGACACCGGGCCTGGCACCTGGGGCTCGCCTGCGCCCCGGCCTCTGCCCGTCTGGCGCCCCGGCGCCCCTCTCCGCCGGCCTTCCTGCCCCCGCGGCGGGCACTGCTAACCCAGGCAGGTGACGGCGCCCGGCGCCCGTCGTGCGTTGGTCTTTCTACCTCGTGAGTTCAACACTAATGAGTTATGGGTTGGCCCACGAAAACATAATGTGTAAATTAGGAATTTAATGATGTGTAAGATTAAAAGCTGCGCAGGGTTGCATTTATTTAAGGCTGCCATCTTGTGTTCGCAGAGAAATTACTTGAACGACATTGACCCCCCCCTCGCCCAGAGGACTGGAAATGGCTTGGGGGTGGGGTGGGCTGTGGGGGTTCCAGGCAGAGGCCCCTCGCAGCCCTTGCCGGTGGAAGGAGGCCTGGGGTGAGTGCGGTCTGCGGCCGGCCCAGGAGGGCTGGCTTTGAAGCTCAGGGAGGGACAGATGAATACCCCCCTCCCCCCTTGTCCTTTCCTGGCATCAGGATTGGGTCCAGGATTGGCAAGGCCCACAGGGGTTGTCAGTTCCTGGAAAATTCACTACCATTCCTGTCCTGGTGCCCTCCTGCATTGTAGAATTCAAAGGCACCTATCTTTAAAAAAAAACAACCAAATGTCACTTCTTCCCCATTTCCCTTCATTTGCACAAAGCTGTAGTGTTGGGTCTGCCTTCAGTCACATAAATAAAACCTGTCCCCTGATACAGCCAGACCCAGGCCAGCACTCTGTAGAATCTCTTTTTCTTTTGCAAATTCGAGGGGGAAATTGAAAGCACCAGCCAGCAGCCACCCCACCCCCCAGTCCTGTCTGGAGGTGATATCTGGAGAGAGGTCGTGGCCTGAATCCTGCAGCTTTTTGTCCAGTGGAAGCCCCTGGCGATGTAAATGCCTTGAGGCTTCCTCAGACCCTGGGGGCATCATGGGATGCCCTCTTGGGTGATCAGACCAGAATGGCCACCGGCCTAAGCCTTCCATCTGGTTCTGCTGCCAGGGGGTTGGATGCTTCTTGTGGCCGCCAGATATGAGGCTTTTTGGATAGCCTCTGGCCCTGCAGCAGCAGAGAAGGGATAGGCAAGGCTGGGCGACCCTGGGCAAGGGCCTTCACCTCACACAGTCCGGCCTTGTGTTTGACAAGGGCTGGGAGGAGCTAGGGTTCTAATCCCCAGCACTGGCTGCTGGCTTGGATACTCTGAAAGCCCCCCTAATCCTGGGAGAACCCCAACTTTCCTCCCTTGGGGACTGCTTTGTGCCTGATTGAAGGAGATCGCTGGCCAAGGACCAA